ATATATATATATTATAATATTATATTACAGTACTATATTATTAATATATCGTCCAACAATATTATCGCGTTTTATCATTTCATTTACTCACAAACTTATTCATAACTTATTAAAAAATAGAAAGAGACTCGTTTTACATATATTTCCATAATTGGGCAGTGTGTCACTATATTACAGTATCATAATTTTCTCACAGCCATTACTCTTTTTTTCTACTACTTTATTAAATATTGGGAGACTTTCACTCATAAATTTTCTTTTAAAAGCATTCAATTAACAATGAGTTTTTGAATCTAAACAACCGGGGAAGGAAAAATGTTTTATCGATTTTTTTCTGACAGAGACACGGTGTGGAGCGTTTTAACAGGACAAACGCTGGAAGGAACACCATCGATTGTGTTGCACGACGTACGAGAGATCGAGACGTGGATACTGAGATTGCTGAGCAGCCCTGTACCCGTGCCAACAAAGACACGCGTCGAGGTCGAGATCGTGTCACAAAGTATGCAGCCACCACTCTGTTTTGCACTTCCAGACCACACTAGATTTTCTCTCGTTGATTTCCCTCTGCATCTACCCCTGGAACTTCTTGGCGTTGACATATGCTTGAAGGTCCTCACGTTGATTCTCTTGGAGCACAAGGTGATCTTTCAATTTATAAATCGGTATTATTTCCTCTCGGAGAATTATTCTCTTTTTCAAGAGGAAACTTCTTCAACCTTTGTTACCTCTTTTCGACGATTTTCATTAGTTTGTACGATTTACCACAGATTCTTTAGAAGATTTTCCATGAATTTTTGATGGATTCTTAATGAAACTTTTCAGTAGTTTTTCATCAACACATTTTCTGCGGTTTATATAAGATTTGGATTTTTCGTTCAGTCTGTCGAGACTTTTAACTTTGCCCTGTTAAAATCTAGAATACTGAAAACTGAAGCAAATCTGCGGATTATATTCGGATGTTTCGTCGTGTTTGTCTAAAACAATTTACCTTTTCATGGTTTTCTTACTTTCTTTTCTCAACTATTGTCTTAAAATTACTTTCTAAGAATAAAAAAATTCTCATTTCTGTGAACTTGATTGGTTTGTTATAACAATCAATTAATTATTTTAATCGTAATTTCTCTCTCTCTCTCTCTCTCTCTCTTTTAATAAAATTAAGAATAAGAAGATTAGGGAAGAAATGCAATTCATCAATCGACGAACAAATTATACTTCTCTTTTGCAGATCGTGTTGCAATCCCGCGACTACAACGCCCTGTCGATGTCTGTAATGGCGTTCGTAACGATGATTTATCCTCTGGAGTATATGTTCCCCGCGATACCATTGTTACCCACGTGCATGAGCTGCGCGGAACAATTGTTGCTTGCACCTACACCATTTGTTATCGGAATACCCGCTACTTTTTTATTGTACAAAACGAACTTTAAAATGCCCGATGACATTTGGCTAGTGGATCTAGACAGCAATAAAATAAACGCACCTACTGGTCTGGATGATCAATTGCCCCCATTGCCCGAACCAGAAAGCACCATACTAAAGAACCACTTGACACAGGTAAATAAAAAACAGGCATTTATCACTGGAATTAACTCTTTCGCAGCGTGACACAGAAATTTATATATCGAAAGGAAATTAAGAAGAATTTAAAAATAAAAAAAAAAAAAGAAAGAATTGTGAAGATGAGAAATTGATACGCGCGAGGGTTCTGTGATTTTTCACGCAGCGTGTAGGGAAATTGTATGTTATTATATAAATTTCATGAATTGTAACAATTGAAGAAGAATCAGGAATTTAAATAAAATTCTAAGGCTGATTAGAGGAGAATTTTGAATTATTTTGTCTCCGACGATCTGCAATATATTTTTTTTTAGTACGATTAAATTAATTAAACACCTACAAAATGTGCTTGACTAACAATGATTCATGTTGAGTCATTTATTTTAAATGTACAATTTGTATTTTAAAATAAGGCGACAAAGATGTATGTATGATGCGTAAGATGTAATACAAAATTAGAGATAATTATGTACTTATGTACCAAGATAACTAATATACTTCGATATACTCTTATTTATATGCTTGTATACGATTGTATGTCAAAGGCTGCGAAAGAGTTAATGTGACAGAATTAGAAAAAAGGAGACGAAATACATTGCGTGTATATTTCTCTATGGTAGACAAGAATATCGACGATGAACCACGTTAATTTAATCGTTCCTCGTTTTAATCGGTTCCGCAGGCAATGCAACTGATGGACCGAGCCGGCTCTAGTGTAAATATTTTATTTATCCATTCTCTGCATGGAGTATAAATTGTATTTCTATATACATAGCTGATTTATTCCTTGTGTTGTAGTTAGCGGCATGGACTAATTATTTATTTATTCATCTTCTTTTTTTTTTTCTTTTTCTTTTGTGAAATTCGATTTCTCATCCTTTTAGAGAATAGAGACGCACTAACCTTCCGTTCCGAGGGAAGAGAACTGGGAAAGCTTTTTAGAGAATACAATATGTAGGAATTACAGCATATAGATAGGCATAGAATAAAATAGTAGCAAATAGTAGTTTGCTTAAGTGGTATGACGAATTTTATATCGTTAGCTCTTCGCAGGATATTTAGAAAGTTATGAATCTTCATTCTACGGGTTTCTTTCCCGCAATGGTGGTGTCTTCTTCTTTTAGGCAATGGCTAGTATGTCAATTCCGCAACCACTTTCACAAGACATTTCTCCGAGGACTTCTCTGCAAGCTCCAAGTAGAAGGGAGAGCCTAACTTCTCATTTAAGGTTAGTGGTCTTATTTATTTTTGTTAGCTTTAATTCTTTCGCGATTCTCGAAAGTCTCGTTTGCTCACTTTTCGAGGTTGTTAATCAATAATTAAACTCGAAGAAAATGTCTGAGAAGTGCACTTTGGTACGTAGATGTGTATAAAATGTCCACATATTATCACAGTGATTACTAGACTGTGGACTTTTATACAAAATTCGTATTCCTGAGTGTATAGTTACATCGAACATTATAGAAAGCTAGTACTTTATATATATCATATATTTCCCATTTCCAAATTTCCTATAAGTACATGAGGATCCGCAATGATCCAGTGCGCATCATAATGATATTTAGCGAATCGAAACGAAATCTCCGTTTAAAAATAGAAATTCGTTTTAAATATATGCGATCTATTAATAACGAGGCATCCAAAGATTAAGGCTTATCATAGTTAATCCACTTGACTCTTCACACAGTGTGTCGTCGATGAAACACAGGCCAAGCATCGACCATCACGTGTACACGAGTCCAGCGAGTTCTCCGGGGATCAGCGTAACATCCCGTCACCGTCGCTCCTCTATATTCCAGTCAGCAGCCTTCGCGCCGCCTCAGGATCCACTCTCGTCGCAAATCCTGACACCGTTCAATACGTTTATCTACGGGAACGACGTGGACTCCGTGGACGTGGCCACCAGAGTGGCCATGGTGCATTTCTTCAACTCGCAGAACGTTCTGGCGAACTTCACCGAGCACACGAGGACACTGAGGCTATACCCAAGGCCCGTGGTCGCCTTTCAGATCAACTCTTTCCTTCGATCGAGGCCGCGTGCCAGCCATTTCTTGAACAAGTTCGCCAGGACTCAGGCGGTGGAGTTTCTGGCCGAGTGGTCGCTCACTCCGAACAACGTTGCGTTTCTGAGGGTGCAGACAGGGGTGTTCGACCCGGATCAAGTCGGGGACAAGCCGAAATGGTACGCCTCGGATTTGGAGCCTATTTATTTCCCTGTTTGGGACAACGGCAGCTCGCTGGCGAACGCGTTAAAGGCGATGAAGGAACACGAGAGCCAACCGACCGACGAGAGCGGGTCTGACTCCGAGGGTGCCGAAAGTACGAGTTCCTCTTATTCCTCGTTGAGCGATTTCGTATCCGAGATGGTGTCCTCTGACTTGTCTCCAAGTAAGTTCTTTTCTCCTTTTTTTTTTTCTTTTTGGTAATCAACGAGCAGATTTTACTGTTATATTCATAGGAAAGATGTTATCGTAGAAATTTAATTTCTAACTCTGTAATTTTATTTTACAGGCTACAATTGTTCGCAAATGGCACAACCTCAGCAGATGGCCCTGTCTGTGGACCCGAAGAACGTTTATAATCCACCCAGTTCATTGCAATATCCTGGAGTGGAGGAGGAGTCGACAGTGAGACCAGAAAGTCCACCGAGTACTTCCTCCAGTCACAGTGACTTGAGCAGTCCTAGTTTCAACAGAGACTCTGAGTTCGAGTTAAATCCCAAAGCTCAAGAAGGTTCACAATCAGCCAATGTATGTATTTAAAAAAAATATATATATATATATTTATTTTTAATTATATTTTTGTATCTGTAGAAAACTTCCACGTAGAAACTTAATTTGAAATGTGAAAGTGCTTTGAATGTAAGTTAGGTTCTTTTTCAAGATTTCAACTCGGAAATAGATCGAATATTGATCATTGCTTCATTCATAATAAATAACATTTCATTTCCATGTTTTATATCTGTGTTTTATACAATCGTCAAATTTAATCATAAGAAAATACTATCCACGTTTTCACAATCACGAATAATTTTTTCTTATAACTGCACGATGAAATGAAAGATATAAATCGCAACCAATCATCTCTTGTTCTTAACCTGAGATTGATGTTACGATTATCAATGGTAATTCTCCACATTTATGTGATATTAATTAATAGTATAATAATTTTCAGAAAATTCTTTTTCAAATTCACGATGTCTACGTCGCACTTTGATCACGCTTTGATCAACAGCAGTGGTGTCTCATTTATCGAAATTTCAAAGTGCATACATATCTATATAAATATATATATATATATACACACACACACACACACACACACGTATACATTCTACACCAATTTCAATTTCCAACACGAAGCAACAACGAAACAAAATAAAACAATTTTCGTCACTTCATTGTTCGACGTCCTAACAAAATGCTTGAATCATAGGACAAAGAGGAGGGTGGTAGCTTTGAATCAGACTCAACATCCACGATTACACCACGCACAATCCTGAGCGCACAAAGTTCTGTAGGACAGTTCGGAGTAGGGAAGGGACGTTCTTTAGCGACTACTCCGAGCATCAATGACATCGAACGTCCTGCTACATCCCACAGGACTTCCCGTGTCAGTAGATATGTCGTTCCCGTGAGTTCATCCTTCATTGGTCTGTCTCTTGGCTGGTGTAACCATCTGTCGATTAACCTTTTATCGATTCTTATTTTAATTGTCGTTTGAACTGTGCATGCGGCGCACACCTAGTCGGAAAATACCCTCAGTTCCCTTCCAATCCAGGGAAGAGTCCAGCATGGAGAAAGCCCTTTCTTCTTTCATAACATGGTTACTTAACGTTTTGTTACTGAGTTATATAAACAACAAGTTACGTGGGCTCCCTTGCATCTCATTTTCACTTTCA